CTCTATCCACTGAGCCAAACCGGTTCGGCAGAATCTGTGTCTTTACAAAAGTTCATTTTATTGTGGTTTGCTTCAACTTGAGAAGAAGTCCATAAACTCCAACCCATTGCCATCTGAGAAATATTCCCCACTGGCCCTGAACGATGCAAATGCAGCACGCCGAAATCCATATGCTTGTGTCCACGCCTTAATTTACTTAATTTATTTTTTAATATATTTTTTATTGATTTCAGAGAGGAAATGGGAGGAGAGAGGGAGATAATGGTGAGAGAATTTGTGATCAGCTGCCTCCAATACACCCCCTACTTGGCATTGAGCCTGCAACCCCGGCTTGTGCCCTGACAGGAATTGAACCTGCGACTCTTCAGTCTGCAGGCCCACCGTCTATCCACTGAGCCCACTAAGCCAAACTGGCTATGGCCATGACTTAATTTTAAAGTTTATTTTCTTATATAGGAAAATCTGAATCCTGGATCTATGGACATGTGTCATCCTCATTTGTCAATGTTAGAATACATATCAGAGAATGCTACTGGGGAAAAGTTCTATGATTCAGGATACTCCCCTAGGTCCAAACCTCTTCTGACACTATTTTCATGTTGGGTGACTTTGTGAACACTGCTGGAGACCTCTTGGTAAATGTTTCTTATCTCTCAGGGACTGCTGACCTTCAGGGATGTGGCCATAGCGTTCTCTCAGGAGGAGTGGGATTTCCTGGACCCAGCTCAGCGGAAATTGTACCTGGATGTGATGTTGGAGAACTACAGGAACCTGGCCTCCCTGGTGGAGGATGACTTCCTTCCTGAGTTCCTACTCCACTCGCAGGTTTTTGTTTCCTTTATGATTTTAACATCTCCATGGCCTTCTGCTTTCTGTGGTAGATTCTCGCTCTCAAGGAACACGTTGGCCCATAGCTGGTTTGGCCCAGTGGATAGAACACCGGCCCGTAGACTGAAAGGTTCTAGTTTTGATTCTGTTCAAGGGCAAATGCCAGAGTTGTGGGCTCACTTCCCAGTATGGGGTGTGCAGGAGGGAACTGATCAATGATTCTCTCTCCTCATTAATGTTTCTATCTCTCTCTCCTCCTGTCTTCCTCTCTAAAAGGAATAAATATATATAGTTTTTTAAAAAGCACCAAACCAGTTTGGCTGAGTGGATAGGGCGTCTGCTTGCGGACTGAAAGGTCC